TTGGTTCAAAGACGATACATTAAACATCGAAACCATACAGGGGTACCACTTATTTAACAAAATTCGTCCGGGCAGAAAAGGTGGTGGCGTTGGTATCTACATTAAGGGGACCGTCCCTGAGAGAGGGGGGAGGAGGGGGTTAAATTGAGTTAGTTAGCGTATAGTATAGGTACATGGATGAGGAAACTACCAAACGAGTATTAACCGCCTGCTATGGCTCGTTGTCTTGCAGCCGGCGTGCGAGTCCCTCAGCACCCGGAGAGGTACGTCGCTATTGAGCGCCCAGGTACACCTATGTGGACTTTTGCTTGCGGCAATCGTGCATAAGGCATTTAATTATGACATTGCGCATAGATATGAGTTCGTGAATGTTCAAGGAACACTTTTATACCAATATCAGAAAAAATTATATCACCGTGATTTATGACGAAATATTTTGTGAAATATATCTAAAAAAAATGTATGTTTTGTGTCCTTTTACACAAAATATGCTTTGATCGAGACTCCCTGGTAATATGTTTTAGTTTACGTGGTAATATATACGTATATCACATACGAAGCACTAATGTTTAAAAATAGCCTTATAAGGAAGGATTGAAATATTTCCGTTACATTTCGCTCAACGGTCGGTACATCACAGCAGGGGCAATTTGAATTGATTTGAAATTGGCAGTTACCGTTGTAAAGACCAATTCAATACGAATGTTACCTAAATGTCGGATTTTTAAACTTCGGATGTATAAGCGAGATACAGATTATTTCATGTTGAAGATGATAGTACTCAGTAATACCTGCTCTGAAATAAAAACTATATGGAATTTTGAGCTCGGTTGTATGCGTAGTCTTCGTCTGGCGTTCAAAAAGCTATCGCATCCGTTTCGTGCGTTCCCGATAAAAATGAATATGTTTAGACGTTACCGTAAGTCTTAGGCACCATAAATTGGCAAATATCCCACAACACATAGGCGTCTGCATGATTTTATGCACTTCTTAGTAAAGATAATGGGTGCAAATGGCTAATCATAAACTTTACACTTGTTCTCCCTTGCAATCTGCTAATATTGACAATTATCAAAGAAAATGGGTATGAGAGGGATAACTAATAAATTTTATTATTTAGATATGAAAGTCAATGTAGGCCTACTAAATGATGATGATTAATCTTTTTAACTTTATGTGCGTGCGTTCACGTACATATGATCCTCCTCGAAAATTATAAACACCCAGTGACCATCTCCCCCTCCCCCCCCCCTGTGTGAGGCATGGGGAATATTCAACGACTTTCGTAAGTTCTCGAATTCAATGTACTAAATTCATATGCTTTTGAAATTCTCAAAATTGAACCACCATGTTGTATTCATGCCAGGACTTTATAATTAGAATGATTTTGTACTAATATTGCCATCCACAGTTCCCCATTTCTTCAAAATAAAAAAAAAAAAAAAAAAAATGGAAAATAAAAAAAAATATTTTTTAAAAAAAGGTTTTTATCTGGTTTAGATTAGTTGTCTCTATGGTAAAATGCATTTATTAAGCTTTTCACACGAAAATATCAACTTTAATGAACAACGAAAAAAAAAAAAAAAAAAAAGTGACATACCTTTACAGAATAGCGTCCCTATTGAACATGAAAATTCCTATTGACTTGGTAATCATTGCATTGCAAAGTACACTAAATAAGCGTTTTTTTGATATATAATATCATTAGATTCAGAGAAAAATAACAGAGATAACGAACTTTGGCAAGGTGCCAAATACAAAACGCCGTAGCTCGGCTATTTTTTTATGATCTTCGGTACTTCCCAACTCACGTAATTTTCATGCGATCCAAATGCAGTTTGTTGCTTTCACTAGAGCCTCGGCGTCCCATAGCCATGTAAAAGGCCGATTTTTGAATTTTTGCCTTAATCAAAAAATAATAATATTTTAATGCTGAAAAACGCATTCAAAAATAGTTCTCTATGTCAAGCTGTCCCCCGCCAAAAAAAAAGGAAATTCAAAATTCGGCCTTTTACATGGCTATAGGCTAGAGTTGATCTAACACTAGCATTTTTGGGGGAATATTCTGTAAAGAGCTCTGATAGTTGGGATGTACCGAAGACATACCAAAAAAAAATAGCGATTTTTTTCAACTTTTTGGGGGGTGCCCCCCCCCAATGGGGGAGCAAAGTTAAAATTTATATATATAACGAAGCCAATTCTCTTACTCTATAGCATGCAAAAAGAATCAATCAGTTATCTCTAACCGATATTTTTTTATGATGTATAGAGTAGGGAAAGGTGGCCATTCTCAGGGACGGTCCCCTTAAAGATACTATCCCCTACAACACCATAAAATCCATCTGTCCACCAAGTGACGACATTGAAACATTATGGCTCGCTGTTAGACCTACATGGCTGCCTCGTGAAATCAGTGTGCTCGTAATCTGCGGGATGTATTTCCCCCCAAGGACACCTACTGAAGAAAGCCTCAGAGAACACATAATAGAAAATGTGTTCATCCTCCAAGCAAAGTACGGAAATCCCTTTTTTGTAATTCTTGGCGACCTGAACACTTTTTCTGATTATGAAATCACCTCTGTACTGAATTTTAAGCAGGTTGTGTCATTCGCCACGCGTGGGAAAAATACCCTGGACAAAATCATAACAAATAAAGAGCATTTTTATGAAAGTCCAACTTCCCTGCCCCCTTTAGGCAATAGTGATCACTTGTCGCTGCTCTGGGTACCAAAGAAATACCAGGCACCCACGCAATTAAAGGGAACAAAACTTATTCGTAGATTCCCTGATTCTAAAATCCGCGAGTTCGGATCATGGATTACTCATCATGACTGGGCCGACGTTCTCAACGCCCCTGACCGAACACTAAATGCTAACTTTTTTATAAATCAATCTGGAACCAAGTTGACAACTGCTTCCCCTTAAAAAGAACTTCCACCCACCATCAGGACAAACCATGGGTCACCAACAGGATCAAAGACCTTATCCTGGCAAGACAAAAAACACCGATGCAACAAAGTACTTGGCAAAAAAGGTTAGACAAGAGATAAGATCGGCTAAGAAAAATTATCATAAGCAAATAATTGATAAAATCAGTGACGCAAATCCCAAATCGTGGTATAGCCACATTCGGAATTTAATCGGTGACAAAAGAAGTGACAGTTACCTCTCTCACATCAGCGAAATTGCCGACTCGCCAAAACGCTGCTAACATCATCAACTGTCATTTGCGAACATCAACAAGCTACTCCCACCATTACAATCAGCAGAACTGCCAACTTACTTACCCTCGCGCCCTCTGCAAGCAATTGTCAGCGAATACGACGTGTACCAACACTTAAGAAGGATAGCAAAAAGCAAATCTCCTGGCCCTGATGACATCCCGCCGAGGTTACTACGTGAATTCGCTCCCGAGCTCGCCACCCCCTCTGCGACATCTTTAACTGCTCCATCACTGAGGGCGTGGTGCCTGACCTATGGAAGCGTGCTATCACAGTCCCAATTCCCAAAACAAATCCACCTAATTCTCTCGATGACCTTAGGCCCATATCATTAACACCTATTCCTTGCAAAATACTCGAGAGAATAATTGCTAAAGAATTGTGGAAAATATTCGCCCCAAAATTAGATCGTCGCCAATTTGGAAATACCAAGGGTAGCTCCACAGTCCACTACCTAGTTGACCTGATCAATTACATCACTTCAAATGTAGACAAAAGACTCGAGGTCACTACCGTCACCATCGACCTGAGGAAAGCATTTGATCTCATCGACCACACCACATTAATTAAGAAAATGATTTCTCTGGGTTTCCACGAGGGCTGGGTGAAGTGGATATCTTCCTTCATCAACCTTCGCTCCCAGAGGACTCGTGCAAACAACCAAATATCCGATGAAATTGATCTTCACTGCGGCGTCCCTCAAGGAACGGTTCTCGGCCCATTATTGTTTCTGATAATGGTAAATGAGGACAAAATTCCGCACGTGAAGATCTACAAATATGTGGACGACATGACACTTGCACTAGCACACCAACCAGGGCAAGGAAACACCTTATTACAAGACGCCCTTAAGCAATGTCAGAGTGGGCTTCAACTAACAAAATGTCTGTCAACACCAAGAAATGCACAGAAACAAAATTTAAATTTAACAAATTAGCCGACAGTGGTAGTACTCTAAAAATAGGCGAGGAACTCTTAACTCGGGCCAAAGAGGTGAATCTATTGGGAACAGTTATCAGTGACGATTTAAAGTGGTTCGCCAACACCAAGAAACTGATTTCAAAGTGTGGAAGAAAGTTCTTTATGCTAACCAAATTAAAATCTTTCGGTGCATCCCAAGAAGACCTCCTTCGCATATGGACGACTTTCCTTCGACCAGTCTGTGAATATGCAGCACCAGTCTGGCATTCGTCCATTACCAACTTGAAAAAAATAAAATTAGAAAGACTTCAGAAAAGAGCATTACGTATCATTCTCGGGTCAAACTACACCACATACACAGAGGCACTAAACCAACTGCAGATACCCTCTTTAGAAGACCGGAGAAAATCCCTAACAGAAAAATTCGCACACATCATCTTTACATCTACGAGACATCGGCACCTGCTTCCCGACTTCCGTCAATCAAGCAGACAGCTTCGTGAGGATGTTAACAACAAATTATGTGAACCAAAGTGTCATACATCCAGATATTATATGTCTACTATTCCCTATTGTATTAGACACTTAAATGATAATTTTGTAAAGTAACAATTTTACCCTTGTAACTAAAACTTTACTTAATAAACTCTTTATTATTATTATTATTATTATTATTATTATTATTATATATACAAAAACTCTTAAAGTTGTTCTGTGCGATATATTGGTTTACAGCAAGTGGTTCACACCGTGGCTGACTATCTTTTTCAAACTTTGGTTGAAAGTTTTAAATATGTAATTGTTCATGTAATTCTGATTATCTTTTTACTCTAAGAATGTGAAATAGATTCTGATTACCTGGCACTGTGTGATGGGGTGTCAATTTCCCAGTCTGGATCCTCAGACAGCTCAAGGGCACCTCTATCAACGTGGGTATGGTTCCTTTCACAGGATTCAGCTGCCTCTTTGGTGGTAAAGACCTTATCACAAAAGCAGAGATGCTGCTCACTCTTTCTGCAACAGATAAAAATTAACTCTAGCTTTTCAGTATAATACATTGGTTTATAGCAACTGTTTCATACCATGGTTCACTATCATTTCTAAACTTTGGTTTTAAAATTAATAATGTGTAATGCTTTCTAATTCTTTAGTTTCCTTGTACTCTAACAATATGAAATATATTATTAAAAAAAAAAAAAAAAAAATGTTCATCATATAATATTTCAACAATTAAAGTATAAAACATGAAAAATTATAGTCAGAATTCAGCTTTAACTTTGTTGCAAGAATAATATTTCGGAAATATGATACTTCCATTACTGAAGGAATATGTGAGTTGTTCTATTCATGGCTACATGGCTATATGGAAAGCATTAATTTTGAAATCCCTGTTTTTCTATATGGAATGAACTTATCTGTAATGAATCAAATTTAAAATTAGTATATAGTATATGTGTGTGTGTGTTGTGTGTTGGTGTATATATATATATATATATAATATATATATATAAATATATATATATATATGTATGCACATATGTATATATATGTATATGTATATGTATATGTAATGTATATGTATATGTATATGTATATGTATATGTATATGTATATATGTATATGTATATGTATATGTATATGTATATGTATATGTATATGTATATGTATATGTATAATATGTATATGTATATGTATATGTATATGTATATGTATATGTATACTTATATGTATACTTATATGTATACTTATATGTATACTTATATGTATACTTATATGTATATGTATATGTATATGTATATGTATATATATATAATATATATATAATATATGTATATGTATATGTATATGTATATGTATATGTATATATATATATATATATGTATATGCATATATATGTATATATGTATATATGTATATGCATATATATGTATATATGTATATATGTATATGCATATATATGTATATATATATATATGCATATATATGTATATATATATGCATATATATGTATATATATATGCATATATAGTATATATATATATGATATATATGTATATATATATTATATATATATATATATATATATATATATATATATATATATATATATAATATATATATATACTATATATACATATATATACATATATATGTGTGCACATATGTATACATATATATATATATGTGTGCACATATGTATATATAACATATATATATATGTGTGCACATATGTATATATACATATATATATATGTGTGCACATATGTATATATACATATATATATATGTGTGCACATATGTATATATACATAATATATATATGTGTGCACATATGTATATATACATATATATATGTGTGCACATATGTATATATACATATATATATGTGTGCACATATGTATATATACATATATATATGTGTGCACATATTTATATATACATATATATATGTGTGCACATATGTATATATACATATATATATGTGTGCACATATGTATATATACATATATATATGTGTGCACATATGTATATATATCTATATAATATGTACGTACATATGTACATTTATCTATATATACATACGTACATATGTATATATTTATATATATGTAAGTGATATATGTATATAGTTATAACTATTCTAACTAGAATATTTTCTTTCAAATTCTATTTGTTAACCGAGTATGTAATGTATTTTAATGATATACATATATGATTATGAAGTGATTCAAAGAAATATTTCAGAGCTAGGTAATATGAGAAAAAAATAGCCGTGACTAGTGTCGATTATACTTTCTGCTAATTACAAAAAGTGTAATGGTAATTGAAGTTTTTCATAATTATCTTTAGGTAATTGAATAATTGTATGGAAATTAACTTTAATAGGCAATCAGATCAGCTAAATAACCAGTAGTTGAACACAAAATTCAGCTAATGCAGTTCATCATATCTACATACAGTTATAGAAGGAAGAAGCTGTTGTTGTTGTTGTGGAGAGACAAAATCAGTCATTATTTTCATATTGCTCCTTGGTCTCTCAGAAAGTAACTCAGGCCCCTAGCTTGGGAACTGCTCTAACAACAAAATATTATATGCAGAAGACCGACTATTATACATATCACTATGATAAAGAATTGACAAGTTGATTTTTACCCTTGTATTGTCTACCATGGCTCAGAAATATGAGCGGAGAATAATCCTACCAGGCCTTTGAAATGTTGCGCTGAGGTTTACCCTTTGCTTTGTCAAGCCTTTGAAATTTAACACTTTCCTTAATGTCATTGCAATGGCATGCACTGAGAACAATAAGCATTGTTTTTGAATTACTTACTCCTTAGCCTTGGGCATCTTCAAGCCTCCAAAAGTGTTGTATGACGAAAGTGATAAGAGAAATTATCTCTTCTTCTTCATCACACTACAGTGTTTTGTTTACAAAATGTGTTCGTGTTCGACAGAATATTATGATAATTCATATTAGAGTCTACATGGTTATTTTACTTACAAAGCACACATACTTCCACATGAATGCGTAATCACACATATTATAATAATTGTAGTCAGTATCGATTAATAAAAAGTATCATTTTATAAATAATCAAACTAGTATGACGTTCGAAGCCTGAGGTGACACGAAGGAAAAGTATGGTGGGAGGTCCCTTAGTGAACACGCATTTTCTGCAGATTTCTATAATATTCCGTCGTTTGATTTGTAATTTCGAAATCCCAATAACTAACAGCTTGTATTCATTGCAATATCATAATGCAACATCAATGGAATAATGGTTGCTTATCGTAAAACAAATTGAAATAAAATCAGGTTCGTCAACTTTAGCAGAATCGGCAACGTTGCTGTCGCGATCGGCCCGGAGAAAACCGCAAATTAAAAAACGACACTTTCTAGTGTAGTACTACAACCCGGTGACGGCGGAATAAAGGCCTTATGTATAATTCATTTTGGTTATTCTGATTGTCCTCTATCTTGAGCTAAAATCTGATCATAGTTTTCGCTGTTATTATTCCGTGTCTTGGCGTTTCCATGAGGCGCATCCAAGGTCAATATAAGTACTTCTATAGACCTTGTCTACTTATATAGACCTTGGTTGTAGCGACCAAGGTCTATATAAGTACAGGTCTCGTCACTTCGGAGTTCTACGCAGCTTTGGGTGATAAGGCCTATGACGTCACCTGGGAAGAGCTGAGAGCAAGGGGGGCGGGGGGAACTAGAGCATGGTAGGCAGGGCCATAGATAATAGAAAATGGTAGTAAATGAGCAGATACTTGAGTAATTTTGTCGGCACGTTGAACGATTTGCATATTAGACATGTTTGCAGGAGATGATTATCAGAGATTGTTTGTAGGCCTATATCATATTTCTACGTGAATTTAGTTTTGTAATTCTCATATTGCAGCTTAGACATGGCATAAAAAAGACCTAAATAAATAAAAAAGACATGGCATATGTAAACTCCAAATGTTTTTGATGAATTTATTATAAAACGAATCATACAACAATAACAATAATAATGATAATACTAATACTAATACTAATACTAATAATGATAATAATAATAATAATAATGGCAATACATAAACATACACATAAATGTACATATATATAAGCTGCAACCAACCACTGGGCATTGTGACTTTGCGCGCGCCAGTCAGTCAAGCGAGCGAAAACGGAGAGAGGAGAGATACTTCCGGCTCTTCCTCACATCAAAGAATGATCACGCGATTAGCGTGGAACCCCCAGGCTCTGCTCCAGATGACGTCATGCGCGAGACGGACGAATTTGAGTCGCTTAGTGACGAGACCTGTACTTATATAGACCTTGGTAGCGACCAAGCCGTGGAAGTGTCAGTCTAGTTCAGTTCAGTTAGATTCGACTAGTCTAGCTTTTCCCGGGCCTTTTCTCTAGAGTGGCCCGGCCTATGTCAGCTATCTCTAGTTGACTCATGTGTTTTCTTTGAACTGTATGCTTAGCGTGGAGGCTGGATTGCAAGCAAGCGATCCAGCCCGCTGCCATGACATAAACGTGTGACATACCCTTTTACCAGCTCGGCGGCTGTGGTGGCAAGTCCCTGTCTCAGAAGTTGCGTGTGTTCACAGTTCTGTAAGTAATGTAACAATGTGGCGTTCGGCTCGCCGCAATGCTTACATTCCCAAACAACCATGTCATCAAGAATTTGCCCAAGCGCATGTGTAACCTACTCTTAATCTGTACAGAGTGACCGGTACCTCTGTTTATTTTTGAAGGGCCAGTGGCTCATAGCCTGTGGCGTCTGAGTACCATCTGGCTGAGAGCGAGTTTGTGGTATTTTCTCTGTGCGTTCGCCGGAGAATGGCAAACGCTGTAGCTTTGGAACTTTGGCTCAGTCTTTTTGGCTTGGGTTGACGATCATGGGATTCAGGAGCATGCCCCTGCCCTTTTCGGCTAGTCTATCAGCACGCTCATTCCCTTGGATGCCTATGTGGCTTGGGACCCAGTTTATGATTATTCTTCCACCCTGATCAAGAATCTTCTGTGCTATGGTGATGACACTGGTCAGGAGGTAGATGTTGGGCATGCTGTGCTGTAGACAGTCAATGGCTGATCTGGAGTTTGTGTTTATGACAGTGTGTCTATCCCTTAGGGACGTGTGGGCCAGGGCTCCCTTGATCGCAACTGTTTCAGCTTGGAGCGATGAGGCATTGTCAGTGACCCTAATGGATGCATCGTTTGCTGTGAGGCCGGCGCCTGCAGTGTGGTAAATGGGATCCGCGGATCCACTCTTCTCCCGGCGGCGCGCGGCGGTAACATCTCTCCCTGTATCCTCTCCACGTGCTCCACTCAGCTCCCGCGCAAGCTGCCCTATCAACGACAACTGCTTACTCTCGACCCTTTCAAGAAGAGCCGCTTCGTTCGTTTCTCCTTTCCTCGTTCCTTCGATGTTGCCTGCGGTCGCCGGGGGCAGATCACTCCCAAAGGACATCTCCGGCTCCTGCTGCTCGTCTGGACTTCGTGGGCGCCGACGCACCCGTGTGACGGGGTGCTCCGTCGGTCGTGGGCAGTGTATCCCGGCTCTCCTGGGGCTCTGCTGGTGCTGCCTTCTTGTCGGAGTGGGCCCTTCTACGGCGCCTTCTTCGCCCCCTCCTCTTCGCGTTGGGGAGTGCCGGTTAGTACGATCGAGGCCGACCACCTTCCCGCTAGGCACGAGGCGCCAACGACCAGGCGTCGGAGAAGTTGGGGTGACTGCCACGGGCCTTGCGGTCCACTTCAGCTTCGGCTGCCGGTTGGCCTCGGTAGGGGAACGTCGGCGATTCTCCGGCAAGAGGAGAAGAGGGTGTCTGGGAGGGACTCGTGATCGTCGAGCGTCGTGAGCGGGCGGCGTCCGGGGTGGATGGTGGCTGCTGATGTCAGGGACGGGCGACGTCGCTGGCTGATGTCCTCAACCAAAGGCTGGGCTTCCGGCCAAGTTTGACACCACCTTTGCTTCATTACCACCATTGAGTTTCTATTAATAAAGATATCCTTAATAAAAGAATCACTCTTAAAGTAACAACAAAAGGGTGGCGTAAGCAGAACCCGTTCCACCTTGAAATTTAAGATGGTAAATAAAAATAAAAAAAGATCCGCGGATCCGTCCGTATAGTAGGTTCTACTATCCGGAAGAGTTATTTGTGCAATAACCCTTTGTATTTGTGCCTTTAGGCTAGGCATAGAGTATTGACCTTTCTCCTTGACAAGCTCAGGACTGAAACTGATCAAGGTGTTCTCTATAGTCTGCGTGAGGGAGTCCATATCCTTGGCAAGCAGTTATTGTTTGAGCTGAAAGCGTTTCAATACTCTGGCTCTGTGTGTGAGCCAGTTGTCGGCAAACAGCTAATAGTCTTGCTGTAGGTGTCTAAATACTCTCTGTCTCATGTATGACTTCCGGGGTGCCTGCCTTAGCTTGGAAAGATACAGGGCTGCCATTAAATCGATCCGAGTGTCTACGGACGGCAAGTCAGCCTCCATGAGGAGGTTTATGACCTTTGTCCACCTGGGGGCACCCAGAATGATCTTCAATTAGACTTCAATTTTTTTTTAATGTTGTGCTGGAAGCAATGAGGGCGACAGAAGCATAGTCAACAATAGGCCGGATAGCGTGTACTTAGAATGATCTTAGTACTTTGTGTCCCGCTCCCATGTGTCTCCCGGTCATTATTTTCATGACAGGCAGTCTTTGTTTGGTTCAGTCAAGCAGGTAGTGGATCTCCCTTTTGAAAGTGAGTGTGTGGCCTATTCATACCTCAAGGTATATGTAGTCCTTAACCCATTCCAGATACATGCCTTGGACAGTGATTTTTTTTTTTTTTAATTTTCGACATTGGTTTTCAGAGCCATTTGATTTTGCTGCCGAAATCTTTAGATCTGTCCTGCAACACTCTTCAGACACAAGATCTAGTTAGGCAATGCTTGCCAGAGATGATTGCCAGATCATCTGCATAAGAGATCCCTCTGGCAGGTGAATGTTGAGTATGTTGGACATGAGGGTATTGGAAAGAGCAGGACTGATGACCCCACCCTGTGGCGTTCCTTTTTCAAGTGGCCTGTGCTGAGATGTGACCTTGAAATCTGACATTTGCTGTTCTGTTTTTGAAATAGCTATCCAGGCCAAAAGTCTACGTTTGATTCCTATGTGGATTAGGGTCTCCTGAATGACAAGAGTACTTGTCAATTCAAAAGCCTTTTCCGGGTCTAGGAATACAACCACAGAGGAGTAGTGCATCATATTGTACTTACGAGTGTGGCGATGCTATGGGCTGTGCACATACTCCTGGGGAACCGTGCAGGTGTTCATGAGGGGATCCCATTTTCCATCGGAGTCGATTTAGTATCATCCTTTCGGCTGTTTTGCCTAGACAGTTGAGGAGAGAAATGGGTCGGTACCTGCCTGGCCCCTTTGGTTTTAGAATAGGAACTATTATAGCTTCTTTCCAGCTCTGGAGTAGCATGGCAGTTTGCCAGGACTTGTGGAGCTGCAGTAATGCAAGTTCTGCAAATCTTAAGTGGGAGATGATTGGGTAGGAGATCCCATTAGAGCCCGGTGCTGATCCAGAAATGGTTTTATATGTTTTATTTAGTTCCCTGAGTAATCAGGTTGGAGTGCCTTGTCTCTGATGAGAGCAAGCCTGCCTGGATTTAGGCGTATTTGTTTTTCCTTCAACTCAGGAGGCAGGCTGTTTCTGCTGGTTTTGGCTGAGAACTCGAGCACCAGCCTGTGTGACTCTGTTTATGGGTCATGATGCATGCGGCTGGGAACTTGGCTGCTGGTAGCTCGTCTGACCCCTTCCACAGCTCTGAGAAGCTTATCTGGTGGACAAAGGACTGGCACCATTCCAGCCACTTTTCCTGCCTGACTCTGTTGGTAGTTTCTTTGGGATCCCAAAC